GGGGGGGGGGGGGGGGGGGGGGAACGGGGGAAACGGGTCATTTCTGCAGGTGGGAAATTGCTGCGGGATGAGGGAAGAGCCCAGAGCCCCCCCGGGCACTGGGGCACGAGTCCGGGTTTCCCTTGGAAAAAGTTGCCGAGATGCTCCTTTCCTGAGGGAAAGAGCGTCCCCAGCTCAGCCGGGAGGATTTTGGGATGAATCAGAGCCCCCTCAGCTGGGAAGTGCTGCCTCCAGCTCCGGGACCAGCACGGGCAGGTCATGGAAATCCTGGAGAGGGACAAGAGGAGGCCCCGGAGATGCTGCCAGGGCTGGAGCCCCTCTGCTCTGGAGCCAGGCTGGGAGAGCTGGGGGGGGCTCAGCTGGGGAAGGGAAGGATCCAGGGAGACCTTGGAGCCCCTTCCAGAGCCTAAAGGGGCTCCAGGAGAGCTGGAGAGGGACTGGGGACGAGGGATGCAGGGACAGGACACAGGGAATGGATCCCACTGCCGGAGGGCAGGGAGAGATGGGAGACTGGGAAGGGATTCCTGGCTGGGAGGGTGGGGAGGGGCTGGGCTGGAATTCCCAGAGAAGCTGTGGCTGCCCCTGGATCCCTGGGAGTGTCCAAGGCCGGGTTGGAGCCACCTGGGATGTTGGGAGGTGTCCCTGCCCGTGGCAGGGGGTGGGATGAGATGGGATTTAAGGTCCCTTCCCACAAATTCCACGCAATTCCACGCCGTGCAATTCCAGGGCCGTACCTTGTTTCCGATGCTCATCCTTGGCCGGACGGGCCTTGCCGAGTTTCATGGCTGAAAAAACTCCTTTCCCAGCCCTGGACGAAGAGAGGAAATAAAAAAACAAAACAAACAAACAAAAACCACCATGAATGACTGTATTTGAGCGTTTTCCAGGCCCTGGGAGCGGGAGCAGGAGGAGCCTCTCCCGGCTCAGCGGCCGGGGGGGAAAGAGCAGGAGAAGGAAGGAGCAGGAGCCCGGAGCCCGGGGAAACACACGGCCCTGGAGCTCGTTTTGTGTCCTGGGAATGCCTCAGTTTGGGATAAAACACGAGGCTGGAGCACGGCCTGGGCAGCCAAGGAACCCTCCCCGTGCCCCGTGTCCTCCCACTCTTCCCGGGAGCTGCTCCCGGAGCTGCTCATTCCCCAGGGAAGCGCCTAAAAAACCCCAACTCCTGAAGATTAAATCACCCTGATGCTTCCCAGACCACCCCGCCGTGGAAAAATCAGGAAGCTTTAGGGCTGGAGCAGCAGGAAATTTGTATAGATCCCAAAGTTTTCCAGCAGCCAATTCCGGGGAGGTGGATTATCCCCTTCCAGGGTGGTGACAGCCAGGACGAGGTCATGGAATTCCAGGCTGGTTTGGGTGGGAAGGGAACTTAAAGATCATTTAATTCCCATCCCATTCCATGGGCAGGGACACCTCCCGCTATCCCAGGGAATCCAACCCGGCCTTGGACACTCCCAGGGATCCAGGGGCAGCCACAGCTTCTCTGGGAATTCCAGCCCAGCCCCTCCCCACCCTCCCAGGGAAGAATTCCTTCCCCATCTCCCATCTCTCCCTGGATGAGGGTGGGAGCCGACCAGGATGCTGGGAAGGAGGAGGAGAGGAATTCCCGGCTGCTTTTCCCTTGGAAAACCCTGCCCTTATCCCAGCGATGATGGAAAATCCCTCCCATTCCCTTGGAAAGCTGTGGGATCGCTCTCAGGAGGCTCCTTTGAGCAGGAGGGACCTCATCCCATCCCATCCCATTCCATGTTCAGAGACACCTCCCGCTATCCCAGGGAATCCAACCCGGCTTTGGACACTCCCAGGGATCCAGGGGCAGCCACAGCTTCTCTGGGAATTCCAGCCCAGCCCCTCCCCACCCTCCCAGCCGGGAATCCCTTCCCAATCTCCCATCTCTCCCTGCCCTCCGGCAGTGGGATCCATTCCCTGTGTCCTGTCCCTCACTTCCAGCCGGGATCTCACCTCCCAGGGGCCGGGAGATCCAGGGCTCAGCTCCAGCCCCGGGAGCAGCAGGATCGGGATGTGCTGCCCTCGATCCCGGGGACGGCACCGACCCCTCCCGGTGCCACCCGGCTGGGACTGGAGGAGGTGGTTTGACCCTTTTTGGGACCCAAATCAGCTCCAGCCTCGTCCTAAATAACCCCTGGAATTCTGAGCGAGCCGGAGCACGCGGGAGGAGAGCGAAGGAGAGCGGGATAACCCAGAATTCCCGGCGGGAAGGGGCAGGAGGAGGGAGGGAGGAAGGCGCAGGAACCACTTAGAGCCGGGACTAAAGCAAAGCTCAGGCGCAGGAACCTTTTAGAGCCGGGACTAAAGTAAAGCTCAGAGCCCCCCGGGCTGCCTCTGGCAGCCGGGATGAAATTTTGGGATGCTCCCAAGGGGCAGTTGGTGGACGGAGAGGAGGAGGAAGGATGAGGGAGAGGTTTCCATGGCTTGAGATCCCGCCTGGAAACCCCTTCCCCTGGAGGAGCTCCGGGAACGGGAGGCTGCTGAGCCGTTCGCAAAACTCATTAACTTAATGAGTTTGTTTAATGAGCAAACCCCTCCGATCCCGGCTCGGGCTGGGGAAGAGCTCCCAGAGCTGGAGATCCCTTCCAGCCTGGAATATCCAGCAGGATCGGGCTGGGGAAGAGCTCCCAGAGCTGGAGATCCCTTCCAGCCTGGAATATCCACCAGGAT